CCGCTTAAAAGGCTCAATCGCTCGTTGAGTCTTGCTATTTTCAAAGCCTTGCAGATAATACGCTTTTGACAACAACGATAGATTAAGGCACGCCGCTTGCGACCGACTGCGTTTTAGACAAGGCACTTGTCTTGCTTTCTCGTCTATTGCAGCTGGTATATGAAGGTATTCACCCTTAAGCCGGGGCCAAAACAGCTGCCTCTCCTCTCGTAGACACACTCCAAGCCCTAAGCAACCTCAGAGTGATATGTGCTGCTTATGAGACAGGTTTTCGGCCATCCAACTGCCTCTGAATACAAAGAAGACGAAAAGACACAAGAATAACGCTGGTCGAGCCCAGCAACAAAGAATCGCGGTCTTTCGGCAACTTATCCTATCACCACAGTCCTCTCCCCCTCCCATGCCTTTCTCTGCAGCACAAGGCAGAGAGACGGACAAAGTCTCTGTTCAGCGGCCTTTTCCATCGAGTCAATCTAACAATCGTCAAGACTCGGACATTACCTACCAGGAACATCTTCAACGAGAATGTTCTGGCCCTCGAAGTGGTAAGCCACTCTCATGTGGGCGGAGGATCTTGAGACCGACCCATTACCTGCGAGTTCATACCCAACAATTTTGAAAACACCGAAAGTTTAGGACGATATGGATATGGATGATATGCAATGCCGCGTCCGTTACAACCTTCGGAGTCTTCTTCTGCTCGTCGACATACGCTTGAGCTTAAGCAGAGCTTATGGCGGCGTTCAGGATGGTCAGGATGTCGCAAACCTTGGACTTGTGTTGTTACTTGTAGGCTACATCATCGGACCGCTGATCTATGGCAAGACGTCGAGTTGAACGGCTGCAGGAACCTCATGATGGATACACTTGGCGTTCTAAACACCTTCAACCTCGGCATGGCCCAAGCCAGCGGCATACTCGCTGTCCAGATTTCTCTCCTCCTCGGCAGCACCATTGGGTCCTCGCCCGTGAGCGAACTTCAGCTGCGCCCTCGCTGATTCGTTCTCTGCTGCCGGAAAAGGGGTGCAAGTCGGCTCTTTTGCGGTCGGACTTTTCATGAGATGCTTCCTCGGCCTAACTCTAGAAGGATTCGTTGACGAGTATGGAGGCTGGCGCTGGGTGTGAGAGTCAGAGCCACCATTTCCAGTATCCCCTAGAACCTGGGCACTATCCTCATCCCAGAGAGACACGCTCTTGTGAAGCTCGAATGGCGAGCTCGAGTGCTCGAGAAGGTCCTAGGCCAGGTCTTTCGGACTCGGTTACAGACGAGCGGGTCGCAGCCAATGCTAAGACAATTAATCAGTATTGCTCTCTTGCGTCCTTGGATCCACCTCTTCCGCAAACTCGTTATCACAATCATCTCCATGTTGATGGCACTCGTATACGGCGCGCTCCACATGATATTTGGCGCGTTTCTTATGATCGACCGACAGCATCGTGGATTGAGCCCGTACGAGGGCGGTCTTGCACTCCTCGGCATCTTCACGGTCATCAGGCTTATAAGATCAAACGCCTGGTACAAAGGGACCGAAACAGAAGCCTTGACAGTGAACAAACTGGTAGCGGCTCCGGAAACCTATCTTCCACTGGGTATATTTATCGCCCGCCTCATAAAGCTAGCTAGTCCTTTCTGATTTGCGGGAACCAACGGGGCTTAGGTCTGCTGAACCGTGAGCATCACAGCTAGCATCATGCTTGGGTCCTACATGCTCGTGGTCTTCTCCAGTTTTACGCTGACACGCAGTACCTGGCCGACTCCTACAAGATCGACGCAAGCAGTTAAATCATGGGCAGCGGCATGATTCGGGATCTCCTTCTGGCCTTTCCCGTGTTTACAACAAAGATTTACGAGGATCTGGGAATCCACTGAATGTCCTCGGTGCCGATGCTTCTGGTGCTAGTCTGCGTGCCCTATCCGCTGCTGTTCCATAGATAGAGTCCTTGCATCCACGAGTGATTCCAGTATCAAAGGCAAGCAGCCGGGGCGCTGGAAAAGATGAGGCTGCGAGCAGCCATGATGGCGACCTTGCAAAGGAGATCAGATGGCACTGTCAAAGAAAGAGGGAAATGAATGTGAAGAAAACCCATCGTCTATGTAGCCCGAGTTCAGAAGCTGATCTATTTGTCTCACATTTCACGTAGTCAGTCAAGGGGTGGATGAGACTCCTCAAAGACCCATTTGGTACTTCGATTTCAATCGGATGTATTGTACACGTATCGTACGGGTACCCCAGATGTTTTTCGCCGGAACATATGCCGAACTGCGTAATAAATCCGCTGGTCACATTCAATTCGTGTCTGAATCAGTGTCCTCTTTTTCAATATTGTTTCCAAAGTACGCTGAACGCAACTGATTTGACTCATGTCCTCCGTCCCATTCACCCATCTCGGTATAATCTCTCATTGGTGAAAAGCTGTAGGCTTTATGTGCTAATGTGGCGAGCCTTTCACATTTTCGAGGCCCAGAACTGCGGCACTCACGTGCCGGAAGTATATCATGACAGATTGATTGCTTGCTCTTTTCTCGTCCTCCTTAATGAACGCCACGAAGGGTGGTAGTGGCGACAGGCTCACAGCTGGTCTGCAGGCCATTTTCTCCGATCGAAGGATCACTGATAAGGAGCTACCGTCTCCGAAATTGGGCGGGTGCCTTGCTACTGCTCCATGACGCGAAGTCACTTGCAGCCAGTTTCGAGCGAACTCCTCTTCAGATTGAGAGCCTCTTGGAACGGATCTGCTGCCACGATATCCGAGTTTCCCGATGTGGAGTGACACGAAATATGCCCTGTCCCAGACAATATGTGGTCCCAAAATACAAGCTGTGTTGCGTCTCGACATCTCAAGGCTCGGGCTCGATAGAGACGGGGGCGAAATTTGGTAAGACATTGCGAGGAGAGCCTGGAGAATCTCATCCGAGAAGAACATCATGAGCCTCATGTACAAAATGTAGCCGTGTACCGCCGTCGTCGCGAATCAACTGGATGTTTCAATCCTCGCCTGATGGTGTCTTCGTGTCTGTGGATCCCGGGGCGCGATTCCCGATGACATCGCATGCAACATTAAGACTCGTACAAATGGTCAAAGGCAGCGTAGACTTCGGATGCGAGACCTGCAGAGGACACTTAACTTAGCCGTTATGATGGAAGGGCTCGAGGGACGGGAGACTAAGACGTTAGCCTGGCTACCCCGATATCCTAGCACACCCATGTTTGCATCCAGACCCTGGCAAATACTCGCGAGCCAACCGTTGGCAGAGTTTCCAAGGTTCACGTTTGGTCTGGGTCTTGCCACGCTGCTGCGCTCGAGAATGGCTGAGATGCTTGATTTAGAAAACGTTTCGTCGGCAATACTCAGTGGCACATCCCGGAAGCTGGAGCTCGAATGCAGCGGCGTCATGGTTTCAGCGAAGAAGACAGCATCCGAGGAGTGCAGACGTGTAAAAAGGTCGCCACAGTCCATCAGATTTGGATCGAATGCCGCATCTTAACGTCGCCCTTCAACGTGCGTATGGGATTTTGCCGGTGGCTGCTAGGTGAAACCCGGATTTGACGGAGGACATGGAGCCATTCCTGTTCCTAATGCTCTCTGCGCGGTGGATCTCGCGCTCTGAACACACTGGTTCCCGGCTCGCTGCCATTACGGTGCATCGGCTCAGGATTATCCGGCGCGCTGATGCTGCGGAGGTTCTGCTGGTGGCATCAATGGCACGACTTGCGCCGCGCGCGCAAGGTCCGCACCTCGTCCTGCACGATCTTGGGAAGGTCTTCGTGGCCTCAGCTCTAGGTTCACATGGCTGTTCAGCTGCGCGTGTCTGACGCCGTATTCCTAGAATAGTTGGAAGAGATATGGTCGTAGTCCCCCGTGATTCATGCTGCCGGGAAACATGACGAAGCGGGACATCGAGCACGGCGGTGGGGTTGCTGGGAATGTGGTAACCAAAAATGAGCAGATTCCTCCATGAGATCCCGACGTGACCGAATGTATCCAGCCAGCACAGGTACTTTGCATTGAGATATTGCTCGAATGAATCCGCGCTGCGACCCGCTGATGACTTCAGCTGTCACATTCCTGCTCTGGCATGCAGTGAAGTCAACATCGGCAATGTACCACAAACCTTCTGGAAAGCAGAACAGAGTCACACAGGGCCTAGTGAAAATGGTTCTCACGCATGTGCTATTCACTGAAGGCCTCATAATTGCCTTGTTGAGCTTGGGTCTGCCTCAAGCGCCACGACTCGTTCAGGTACTGCCTTCTTGGAGCGATCGGTGAACCGGACGTCGTTTTGATGCCAGGTGAAGCGGCATCTGCCCATTTAACTGCCCCCGCCCTGATCGTACTCAGAACTTGGCGAAGTGGGTTTCTTTTTTCAATGAATTTGCTGATGACATTGTCATCTTGCAGGCTACGATGGCTAGAGGGGCAAGCTTTAGAAAAGGGGCCAGTTCATCGGGTCTCACTGGCATGGGCCGGGCCTGTGAACAGTATGGACTCAAGTGACATCCTTAAGGCTGCCCTGTATCGATTACAGGATGGCTACCATGTACGGCGCGTATTTGTGGGGTGACGAAAGGAACTTTGGCGTGCGGGCTATTATGCTGACCTTCAGTGGGAGACTGAAGTTTGCTATCTGGCCATACCACGACACACCGATGCCATGTTTTGCTGCTTGGATTCGCAATCACGACTGATATTTTGAAACTGTGTTCTCAAGTCCCTGACATTGAAGACCGAGGCAGTAAAAGATGGCTTATGGCTATACCCCCATTACCAGGCCTTGATAAGCCACTGGGTAAGCACCGAAGCATGTCAGACGCCTTGCTTGAACCATACATTATTACCATCTAACGCGTCTTCCCAACCTCATCAAATGCCGCTTTCCATACTTCTCTCCCGTGGTCAAGGCATTTCTAACAATGGCCATGGCCCATTCCACCATAAACGATGCAGATGCCGTTGTCCATCATTGTACATAGCCATGTTCACCGATGAATGCATTTCGATCAAATGTTCCCGTGCATGATTCCCATTGCCTCGACCTCAGCTCTCCTCGCGTCGGCCAACTGTACGTGGTTAGCATGCCACTCCTTCTGTAGCTTGTGGCACAGATTTGTAGCACGCCTTGCCGTTAGCCACCAGACGACGCATTGTGTCCAAAGACTCCATTCCAGGGACTGGGTTTGGGCCTGGGCGCTTGGCCCAGTATGATCGGGAAACTCATTGATGGCCGTGCCGATGGCAGATCCCATCATCCGAAGAGCCACTTGCTGCTGGGCGGAAAGGTATCTGTTCTCGGTTCCAGAACAGTCCGCAAGGAGATCAACCATCTGACCCCTCATTCGTGTCACAACAGAGAGCGTCCGCCTGGCAGTGGCCACTCTGGTTGCCTCATCTATCGCGGTAGCATGCCAACGGTGCATATCGACGAGGCCTGCGGTACAGCAGATTGCTGAAGCCTGGATGAGCTCGGATTGCAGTTGTAAACTGGCGATCCGATTGTTGTCGAAGTCTCTAAGGGCTCTCAAATGGCGGCATTTGTCCCATAATCGCCGTTGGAAGTTAATGACGTTGCTGTCCGATCCTAGTAGACCGTTGTGTGGCTCCGGTTGTGATCGTTGCAGAGGGTGGAAAGCAAAAAGGGCCGCTGGGGGACTGGCGAGGGTGGATGTCAGTAGCATCTTCTTGTAACTTTGCCGCAAGAAGGGCACGTCGATTTGGTCTTGGAGGCCTGGCGGAGGAAATGCCGTGGCGGACGCAATCTTCATGGCAAACGCGACAATAAATACACCACAGTCGATGTTGTTGCCCTGTCGGGCGCACCGGATCTAGATCAAGTCAAGTCAGCGCAAAAAAGCCCCCATCAAGACGTTAAGAAACTGCGCCCGCGCGTCCGAGGTTTCCTGAATGCTTACGAACCTTCTCAACTCTCGTGGGACCGGAAGGGCCACGGATCTGCGCCACCATCGGAAGCACTGTGTTGACTCCCTGCTGGTTGGGAAGATTCAGCGAGTCAAGCTCCGCGATAGAGTCTGAACCTCTCAGGTGGATAAAGAGCCGCCAATGCTTGCTTTGCCGGTGGAAGCATGGCATGACAATGAGGTTCGTTTCACGCAAGGCCAACAGCCGCATCTGTAGACTCGGGGACGGTTTGAAGGGGCTAGTGAGCTGGAGACTGTCAATGACGGCCACGCTGTCACATGCGAGAGTTCCAATGAGGATGTTGACGACGGCGTCGTTCAGCAATCTACCATCGTCTAGGCAATGCAGGCCCGCGAGCAGGGTGTCCAAAGAGACCTGCTGAGGCTTTGGATGGACAGAGGATTCGGCCGAACCTCGTTGCACGCCGTTTGATCCCTCGCCATTTACCGAATCGCCCTGCTGTGACTCAGCCCGCTTCGTGGTTTTCTTGAGCTCGTTTGCCACAGTGACGGCCTTGGGGCTCCGTGGCCGTGCCTCTGGCTGTGTGTCTCGAGACGTCAGGGTCTGGTGGGCGCTGTCTGTCTGCGCCGAGCCTCGTTGCACGCCCTTTGGCCCCTTGATATGTTTCGAATCGCCCTGCGGTGCCTTGACCTCCGCCGTGGTCTCCTTGAGCATGTCTGCTACAGTGGTGGCTCTGGAGCTCTCTGGTCCAGTTCCTGGCTCTCGCTGTGTATCTCGAGACGTCCGTGTCTGATGGGCGCTGCCTGTCTTCATGTTCTCGTCTCTAGCTGGCTCTGTTTCGTGAGGCGGCGGTTTCTGTTGAGTGCTGCCTGTCTGTACCATCTCGTCTCCAGCCTCTGGTACTGGCGATAGCCGCGGACGTTTGATTCGCTGTTGGCTGCGGGATTGAACTGTCTCTGGGAGAATGAATTCTTCCTCAACGTCTCCCCAGCTCATGGATCTCTAGACTTTGAGCGGGTTTGCGTCGCCACTGTCGACAGCCCAGTCCTCCCCCGGGCTCTCACTGAATTCTTGCTCGTGTAGTGGAGCCCATTGCTTTCGTTTTGCAGGCGGAAGGTGTTGATTCTGGAATGAGTTCGGTGGAAGGAGGTCGCTCATTTCGAAAAGACCTTGGTCCTCGGACCACGACCCCGCTCTTCGTCCCGCTTCGGGCGAATTATCTGGCGAGGACCGCCCGCTGCCAGCAAATGAGAATGACTCATCGTCATCTACAGACTGATCTGATCCGACAATGGTGTCGGCACTATCAACGTGCATGTGTTTGTGGGTTTCGGAAGCCGCCGGCAACGTCTTGCGGGGTGGCTGGCGTAGATTGGCCATACTTCCGTTGACGATGTCGTCGGCACACCCGTCCTGGAATGGGTGATGAACGCCGGGGGGAGACCCAGGTCGGGAAACGGTGAGCTTCTTTGTCTTGGCAACAGCCGGGTTGACTACAGTAAACATACCGGGTCAGCAAACTGATGCGGGAGCGAGGTGCGCACCAGAAACGACAGGTCGGTAGGACTCACGAGATGCCCTTACGCGTCGTAACAAGGTAATGTCGGTGACCTGGCGCAGTCCCTTTGTTTGGTTGAGCACCTTGGCCTGCTCGTCGTAGAGGAGTTGGAGCAGGTCGGGGAGGCGGAGGTCTGGGCGAACAGAGAGACAGTCTTGGGTGTGCCCGATAGCTGCACGGCTCAAACAGATTTCGCGTCCAAGGAATTCAATAAGGACATGCGGCTGAGTATCCAGCCCAACAGCAAGACTTTGCAGGCGATTCTTGACGTTGTCAGCCGTGGGAATTTTCTCAATTGTCGACCGATGGAGAAGTCTGCACAGGGTTTCTGTGAGGTATGGTTCGATGTGAGCGAGTGCGAAGATGCGGAAGTCGATAGACGGTGTCGAGGATGTCGCCGTTATACCACAGTAGGAGGTCTTGAAGCGCTCGTAGAGTGAGAGAAGTTGTTGGTCGGAGGACTTGCAATTCGCCTCAAAGAGGTTCAGTTCCTCTAGATATTTAGTCGTCGTTGGGGACAACATAACGAGAGTGACGCGGCACAAGGTACGTGGGATGAGACGCGCGTGTAGCCGTCACGCGGTGTTAAGAATTGGGGGTGATGTCCGGCCGAAGCCACCAGGTACGTACTTGAACGTGTTGGCGTGGGGAAAGATCATGTGATTGGGAGACTTTGCAAAAAACACCCAAAATATTGGGAGATTTTGGACTGTGTCAGTGTTTGGCGGAAGGTGGCTGGCCACTCAGACTGTCCGCTCCTTCTGCTCCTGCCAACTGATTAGCGGCACCGCAATTGCTGAGTCGGGGCAGCTGGAGCACCACTCACTTTGGTTTCGATGTTGCTGGGTGCCTTCAAGACCGCTCTGACATTGATTGCGAGAAAGGCGTACCGCAAAGCTGGGGGATGACTAGTGCTGGGAAATCCCGAGGCTGCGGGTGTTTGTTTGTGACTCGAACGAGTCGAAGAAAAACGAGTCAAGGATGAACGAGTCCAAGTTGAACGACTCTAGGTTGAGTAGTTGACATGTGAATAGGTGCAGGGTAAATTGGTGGGAATGAAACGAACGAGGCTGATTGTATGCGGATTGGGTGAATGGTGATTGGGAAATGAGGTCGGGAGGTGAATGAAGTGGGGAGGCGAATGAGGTTGGAAGGTTGGCAAGACGTAAATGCGGCGAAAGATGCCATTCGCATGAGAGAGGGGGAATGTGCAGGTACCTTCCTTAGATGTTTCCTTGCGTACCTGATCATGTCGGAGGAAGGTACGGATGATCGGAGTACTGGGTCCTCGGTTAAGGTAGATGGAAAAGAACCTCACTCTCGTCTGCCACTAACCTTATCCAGGGGAGCAAGGCAGTTGCTAACCATACGCCTGCCCATTTGAAAAAGCGTCCAAGATTTGCTACTCCCCTCCCACAGGTCTCGTCAATCACAGCTAGAACGGAAAGAAGTAAACGCAGTCCTTCCGTGTCTCTCTCTTCGGGCGAGCAACTTCCTCTCCAACATATTTTAACGGCGGGTCACTACGAAGTATTTGCTTTTGTCTCTTGGCATACCTCTATGTGGCTGCCAGCTTTTCCCCGATTGGCGCCATTCGCCTGTTCCACCCAACTCACCTTACCCAACTCACCTTACCCAACTCGCCTTACCCACCCCACCTTACCCACCCCAGCTCACCTTACCCAGCAATTGCCTCAGCTTTTCACTTAATGCCCCTGCGGGCCAAAGCTTGTGCCGACCACTGCTGCACTGGCGCACACATGCTTGGGAATGAGTTCTGTCTCACAGATGGCATCGAACTCTTGAATCCGCCCCAGTCGCACCATGCCGTACTGAGCAGCTGTATCAGCTGGGCGTCATAACGAGCACCTCCCAACATCAACAGCTCACCGACACTTCGCAGGCATTGCCGCATGTGCTTGTAGAAGTGGTGAGTCTGCACGGTTGTCGGTGAGCTCGAGCAAATGTCTGCCCATGTCGAACAAGGCACAGCTCAGACTCCACACTCCCGACGAGTGGACTTGAAGTTCGGCAGGCGGTTCTTCTTAGAAGGCAGGTACGGATTCTGGGGTGCTTGCATTTTTTTTTTTTTTTTTTTTGGAGTGCCAGCACCTGCCATTTGGCACCAGCACCTCCACTCCCATTCGGGGTCAGCACCTGCCTTCCATTCTCATGTCGCCCCACTACCGGACGGAGAATCCACGGACCCCATCACCCTTTAGACGCATATCACCATCCTGCACAAAGTAGGTATCTTGCCTTAGTAACCTTACAACCGGGCCAGTCGCCTACACACTCCTGCCCGTTGTTACGTCATCAGCACCCACTCACAACGGTATGTCCTGCCACCAACAGGCACCCGGGCGCTCACACACCACCCCACCTCTCGGAGTGTACTCCGGTCGCGTGTCTCAACCTCGCGTCCTCAACCTGGCCCTTTTTTGACTCAGGTCTTTATTTTCGACGACATTCTCAATTAAATGGCGCCAAACTCACAATTTACATCCGAATCAACACCATTGCCTTTACCAATCCAATCACAACTACCGCTTCCAGAGGACTCAAGACCCGCAGCCACATCCTCCCAATCAACCCCTCACGCAAACGACGAACTCGACTCGGGAATTGATCGCGCCGTAGCGAGACTCAACCGAATCGCCATTCTGTCCAAGCAAAGCATTCTTGACGCCTGGAACAAACTTCTTCTCGCCTATTCATCCAAGATCAATCGACTTACCACGCTAAACGCTCGTCTTGAGACTGAACCATTCCCCCTGTGGCTGAAGCGCACCATCCCCCAATCAACGTTGAGCCTGGTCCTCGCATCTGTTTACCAGAACCATTGGGACGTTCACGTTAATACGAAGCGCAACGAGGCCGCGTACCGCCTCAAGGCAGTCACCCATCTGCATCTCGATTCACACTGGGATCTTTACCTTTTTTTCGGCCCTGCTGCTGTCGCTTCTCGTGCGTGCTGGTTAAAGCTTCCCCCGCACATCGACGCCCGCAGGCTATTTCATCGACTTGTGACCATCCGCGGTCTTGGTTCGAGCTACCTTGACCAGTTCTTTTCAGTTCCAGAATTTACGGCCGCAAAGAAAATTGGTGAGTCCCTCTGCCTCGCTCTCCCTCGCCCCGCCGTTCTCACACTAACAACTCTTCTGCGACTCGTCTAGGCCCTGCAGGTGCCGCCACTCCCTCAGCGATTCCCGGCAACACATCCTCACGCAACATGGAGAAAGCCACTACGGCATCCTCGCGATTGGTCACGCGATCAAATAAGCGAAATACGACTCTTCCTGGTAGCGGTGGACTGACGAGGTCGGGCTCAAGCAACAATCTTCAAGGCAACCCCGGTTCTACCGATATGCCCAACCACGAATTCGATGACAGCGCGATCGGCGACATTGACAATTCGGAAACGGATTCGAGGGAGGGTTCGGGTGTCGATTTGAACCCCGATATGGCTCGCCCCAGCGTTGCTGCGAAATCTGCCCACTCCACCCAGAATGCCCTCAACCGCGAAACGAGTGGTCAGGCCCAACCAACGGCATCGTCGCACGATGGTCTTGAGAATGCAGGTGCAACCGCAGAAACTTTGCAGTGTGTCTTGAACGACATCAAAGATGAAGGCCGCTTCCGGAAAATCCACGATCAGATCAAGGTCGATGCCACGTACACGACAGTCGCCCGTAAGGACAAGACAGAGTCGGAGAGCAGCATCGTCCAGCTGCGCGAGAAGACCCTTGCTCGTCTACGCGCTATCGAGGAGCAGACTGACGGCTGCGTTGATGATGAGGAGGACTAGAAGTCTGCTTCACAAGCGCAAGCTGACGCCATTGCATTACAGTCGCACATCGATCACGAGCTAGCCACTTCTGTCCGTCGGAAGCGGATGGCAGATAGAGCGCTCCAGGCTGAGAATTCAAAAAGGCCCCGGGTTCTGGCGGCTGCCCAAAAGGCACTTGAGGCTTTAAGGAACCTGGAGGATGCTGTAGGCGAGGCCCTGCCTCCACTTTTTGAGCACGGCAACCGCCCCTTGTAAGAAGCACCATTGAAAGTTTGGGAGAAAGACTACATGAAGAGTTCTGGATAACAGGACTCCACGGCACGAGGCATCAAGTAGGCTCGCGAATATGGAATTCCAGGATGAGGTTCAGGTTCGGACCAGCAGTCGCGAGTTTTGGCCGCTGACAGTTGGAGGATTTTATTCACTAGCCGGACCAGATGGCGTCTCTCTTGGTGTGCCCATAGTGGCACAGTAGATTTAATGAACAACGCTTTTTGTTGGGCGACGATTGAGCGGTCCATACGTCTACACTGTTGGTGCCTCGAATGATGCTGTTTGATGATGAACATGCCTTGACTACCCTATGGGCCTTGATGTACATAGACCTTTGGCTCCGTGGTATCTTGTGAACAGACCAACCCCATTCCCTCCGTTCAAGAAGCCTGGTAGTTCCGCCATGATACGTAAACTTCTCTCGTGATGGCTTCGACCTTCTCCACAATCCGCATCGATGCCCTTATCGTAATCAACCATTTAACAACTGCCAGCAGGATAGTCTGTCTCGTCAGTAGAGTCGTTACTTGTCCGGCCGTCCTGGAAGGCTCACTGTATTTACAAGGACTGTGATGGGCAACGCATAGCCATTGTCGTGACCACTTTCATGCTCTTGGCCTACTATATCTGTTGGAAAGAAGAAAAGCGCTCCGAGATGCCTCGACCGCGAGTATTTGAGGAGCCACCGATAGCGCTCTGACAAGGGAGATCATCGCTTGAGCTGTCTGGTCCCACCAAACCAGTACTTCGTAGCGCGGTTGGATTGGTGAGCAACAGACTCTCCGAAAATGAGCTGGGGTGATGACTTGACGGGCATCATCCAACAAGCCGGGCTACTTCTGATGTTTGCAAAGATTTCGTGACTGAAGATGCCCTGACCGAGAGCGCCATGAGTGTGAAAGAGAATGCAATTACATCAACGCTAGAAAGTCATCACGAGATACTCGGCGATCTATTCGTGTGAAGGCAGACTCGAGGTACTCGTGCCATTCCGAGATGTGACTTTCAAGCCTTCACAGAACCTCAACTAGATGATACGGAGCTTCAAGGTCACGTATGATCTGGCATGGAGGGGATCGTATGGTACGAGTCCCGGTTGGTAGGCACTTGCACCTCTACCGCCGGATGATTTCTGATGCTGATCAGCTACATACAGGAACCCTCATGTCTTAATGTGTGTCCGTGAGATGGGCTCGTCAAGTTCAGCCAAGACATTAGCTGGTCCTGTCCCAGGCCGCTCGCGTGTGTGCATGAGTTACGAGACCATCCTCTCCTTCAAAATCTTGGCCCCATTCTTTGAAAGACCCTCTACAATTAGCGCCGGCTCTTCGTGTTGCTTCCGAATCGTTTTCATAGGCTTTGCGGCTCATGATAGGCCGTCTAGGAACCACGCGTGTTCGCGTCCAGCGCCGCTTTGAGACTTCGCGCCTGAGTTTGCGATGGACCTGTCAGTATCACCTGGCACAAGACATTTGCGTTGGGCTCCGCACCTCATAGGAGATTCTCCAACCCTTGATCTTCCTCCGCTAAGCTGCCACTCGTATTCATAGCTGCCTCGGTTTTCCTTCCCGGTGCTTCGTTACGTTTTTCCATCGCTTCGAATCTGGCGTAGATGCTTCATCGCTCAGTCGGCCGGTGAGCACCTCTTGTCGTCAGCATTGCACAACTTCGGGTCCTTGTGCCAGTCCGTCCGCCCATCATGTTCAACATCGCGGCTTGTTGGTCATCTTGTTTTCGCGAGAATTCGGCCCTAGGTTCTCCAGCCCGTGGTATGCTGCAGCCAAAGGCGCAGGCAAGGCTCGCGTTCAACGCAGCATCAACTAGCCCCAGACGCTGCCGAAGCTGGCGAAGAATGCAGAGGCCGCAGTGTGCGTTCCGTGTGAGTCAGGACAGCCGGGGGCAATTTCATTCGTTAGCTACGTTAGTACCGCCTCCTCCAACCCAAGCCGCTCGCCATGCCGTCTACCAAGCTTCAATCTAGCCTCATGATCGACTCGGCGGTGTCGACCGTGTTCTAGACCACCAAAACTTCCTTCGTGGCGGCGCTGGCTGCCTTGTCGACCGCGGCGGGTGGTTCTGACTTGCATGATGTCTTGCCGAACTGCCCCAGCATATGTTGCCGTTAGGGCAATGCCGTTCCGGAGTCCAAGCTGGGCCACGTTATCGAGAAACATTGGGGTGGCGCTCTGGAGAGCGACGGCGAATCGAAGGAGACTCGATGTCGGCATGGACGAGCCAGAGGACGATGCCAACGACAACGACGATGATGATGAGAATCAGCGTAGCGGCAGCAAGGCGAAACCGATTGTTGGTATACACATCAGGAGAGCAGGCCTTTCGGTCGCCACGAGATCAATAGTGCTGTATTAGTCAATTGCGCGTGGTGGAAGGAGAAAGTTCGTGGGCAGAGCCGGCGATTCCTCAGTCGGTGTAAGTGAGTGGAAGGGTCCGTCCGCAAGATTAAAGCTGCTTATGTAATACTCACACCACCCTCTTCTGCCTTCTGCCTCCAGCTTAGTCATCCAACATCAATACGCATGCAGATGGGCGGCCAGATGAACCCAAGGACCAGAAAGATCTCACACCACACCCTTCTGACGTAGGCCAAACAAGAGCAAGCATCGGGATACTGTTGAATAATGTCCGACCCAGCCAGTGAATTGAGATTCTTGTTCAAATTCACATTGCCTTGATGGTGAGTGTCGCTCATGTGCATCACGTGTACGCTTAACGTGTTGAAGGTGGTGGTGCCTATTGCGATGCTGGCGTTGCTGACAAGCGGCTGTTGGGATGCTTTCACCGATTGAGAGGCATATCCTTGAGCTTGAGCATTGATATGGGCTCACCCGTTCGTCTCCAGGAGCCGAGGATGATTTCTTGGTCGTGAATTCCAATTACGAGTAGGCCAGAAGACGGATGAATCATCTGTGTGAACTGCCGTCTTCCCCGGGATTACAAGGTGCCTTTGACAAGATGATATAACACTCAGCCATAGAGTCTGTTGGATTCAGAAAGGCTCGATAAAATGCCGCTCGAATCTCATATTTACAAAATGCAGTACTCGGGCACAAAAATTCGGGCCGACCCATTTGGTGATAAGGCAACGGATTGACGTGTGTGTTTTGAGTCTGGCTGACCACGAGGAGAAGGTGGAGAAGAATTAGAAAAAACGAGGATATGACTCTGTCATAGGCGTCAGAAGGTGCAGAAAGACGCAGTCTGCCATTCTCACTCTTGTCTTCCCATCACAGCATCATTGGGCGCATTTGATTTAAGCCCACACTTTTTACTCGAGGTATGAATCCTTCCAGACGGTAGAAGACCCAGTCAGCCAACAAAATCGGGAGCATCTCCGCCACCTGTACATAGGTCAGTCAATAGGGCGACTCATGGCAGAACGGAGGGCGTTGAATTTAGGTTTGCCCCGTTTTATCCCCGACCAACCCTCTTTTCTTGCCGCAACTCGATCCGGTCCGGCAACTTAAGCGAACACAGACCGTCTCACTCGTCCTACCTGTCTCACTCACTCCACTCGTCTCACTTACTCCTCACTCCACTCTCACTGCACCCATCCGTGCCATCTCACTCACGTCACCCACCCTACATTCTCTCCATAACACAAGCTCCAACTTTGCGTTCGACATCGTCGTCGTTGTACTTCTTATATGTCTCTACTGCTCATCATAGATCCAAATTTTAGCAGTAGCAGCCACTCCACAGCCTGTGCTCTCATCGTCACCTGGGGCTCTGAGAAGATGAATCGGACGGGGCGCTTCAAATTGATACAATACGCCCCCCTTTGCCACCCTTGGACAGAAGCGACCCCATCGGCGTTGCCGCCTGCTCCGCGTATATTGAGGGGCAGCGCATTACCATTCCACAAGCGTGGATCCAGAAGGTAGGCAAGAAGATGTCAATAAGACTTAGCCGCCGCCGACGAGAGTGTGTTTGAGCGTCAACGGGTCTTCACATACAGGATCAATCGCGCGGTCTCGGTGCTGAGGGCCTATCATCTTGAAACGATGCTGCCAACTACCTATAAAGAAAGCCGGCGAGAAAGAATCAAAAGAGCTCTCGAAGAGAAGATCTCGAACTCAAAAGAAGTTGATCTTGTTCAGGAAGAATACCGGAAAGAGCTGGTGAGGTGATGCAGGTGAGCCGGGTTATCGGTCTGACGAACCGAGGGTTTAATTTCTGTGGTGTGTTTGACGAGGTCAGCGCAAACGTACACATAGTGGATCACTTCTGACAGAAGGGGGTATGGGAGGAGAAAGGGAAATGGGAGAGCGAAGACTAGATCCGTCCTGTATCGGAGCTCATCGTCGTTGCTTTTCAGGAATTCAACAAGGCCAAACCTGTTCTCGCGACAGAACAGCAATGAATAGTCTTTCTATGGCCGGGGAGTCCATCGAATTGAATATGTATGGCTCAGCAACCCCCAACAGCCTTGCGCCGCCTTTAATAACATTCCAATTGCCAAGACTCAACATGATATATGGAGCTCAACTTTGCAGGCCGCTTCTCTGACAGACAAAATACAGGCAATACAGTCAATGCCAATATGCTAGCAAACAAGATCAAGCCGGAAGACTCGAAGAAGAGAGCCCGTCGTGGAAACAAGTTCTGAGTTCCCTCGAATCCAACGATGCCGACCTCAAGGAGCCCCAGACCAACGTAGAGGAGGTGGGTCAAGAGATGTACTTCGGACTAGCCAAGACTAAGGAGCTTACAACCTCCATGGATGG